GAGGCGCTTCGGCGACGCTGGCCTCCAGCATCGCCGTGGCCGAGGCCACGGTCGTCACGAGAGCCGAGACCTGGACGGCCGGGGCGAGGTGGGCGAGGCGCAAAGCCACGTCTGATTGGTCCGGCCAGACGGGCAGGGCGACCAGCGCGGCCAGAAGACGGCTCTGACCATCCTCTCGGTCGGCCACTTCGTCAGGCGTCGACGTTGGCTCGTCCGGCCGCGGGTTCGTCTGTCTCGCCGAGACCGGCGTCGGACCGAACCGGCCCAAGAGAACCCGCTGGACGGACTGCGGCGGCGAATGTCGAACTCGTCGCCGTTTGAGGCTCTCGCCGACGCTGCGCGCCGTCGACTCGCGGCGCTGTTGCACCGCCCGACCAAGTTGCGAGTCAACCGAGCCCCGGCGGGGCCCAATCTGTACCAATGGCACCGGCACCGGCACCGGCATTGACCGACTGGGTCGCAGCGACTCGCCACACTCGATTCCGGTGGCCAGAATTGCAGTGCGGACGGCGAACATTGCCTCGTCCCTGGCACACCTCGAACCACTCGACAGACCGCCCTCCTCGTTGTTGCCAGGCCCATCTGCCGTCGCTGCAGACGCTCTACTCCTCGCCGACGTCGCCTCGGCACCGAACGGGTTCATCCACGAGTTCAAAGAACTGCCGCTGCTGCTGTCCAGATCGTCGTGAAACAGGCGCGTGTAGTCGGGCTCTCGGCCTCTGCAATTCGATTCGCCTTGGCAACAGGAGGCTTCACTCGTGTCTCGACTCCTCGAGCTGTAAACTGTACCAGTGGCACGGATCAAGTCTGGAGGCACGTTTGGCGTGTCCGGATGAATGAAGAAGCGCAAACGTCGCCTCGTCATCGTCTCGGCCGTCTCGAGCGCCGAGACAGCGGCTCTTTTTCGCGAGCCCAGCTCCAGTCTCAACGCAGAGTCAGCGGCCCGAAGCGAGAGCGTCCCGTCGTCGGGCTGTTGCCTGGCAACCTCTGGCCAACTCGTCTGCTCGTTGCTTCTGTCGCGACGACCAGGGACTGCCGGCGATGTTGGAGTCTTGCGTCGCGGCGACGTGGGCTGCTTGAGGCCGGCGATGCCCGGCAGACTCGGCAAACTCGGGCCCCGTGCGTGTCTGCCGGCGACCCAGAGCCGGCCCAGCAGACCGGCCGGGCAGACGGACTCTTTCGGTTTGTCCGCCGGCTGCTGCTGGCGCGATTGGTCCGTCGCCTCGTAGACGCGAATGCCCGGCACCAGTTTGGCGTGAACGGCGAGCCGACGGGCTTTTCGCCGCGTCAACTCGCCCAAAGTCGACGGCCTGTGGAAGTCGCCGCTGCCACAGGTCGCGGCCGGCTTCGAAGCCACGGCGCGGTCGACCAGTCGCTGACTGGTCTCAGGCTGGTCGCCATCTCGTGACAGGCCGGTCGCGTGTGGCAATAACGCCGGCGACGTCAACGGCGACGCCAACGGCGACGGCGACGGCGACGGCGACGGCGACGAGGCATCGGTGATTGGGCGGAAGTTGTTCTTCCAAAAGGCGAATAGTTTCCGGTGGACACGCATGCTGTCGGGGCGGACGGAGTCAGGGCGGCGACCGCATGTCCGTCGGCCGAGCGGTCAAGTGCTGCGGCGAGGCATCAAAGCGGAGGCCGTGCTCGGGGGACTGGCAGACGCGAGATCATCTTGCCGGATTGAAGAGTCGAGGACGGCCGACGTCGACTCGCGGATGGACAGTGTCGAGAGGGACTGGTTGTCGTCTAGTCCAGCCTGTAGGTGAACTCGTTGAACCTGTCTGACAAGACAACACACTGCATTTACACATGCAGAGAGAGAGAGAGAGAGAGAGAGAGCGCGGCGCAGTGACAAAAGATAGATTGACAGTGTGCGCTGATTGTAAGCGAGTAAGAGAAATAAATGTGTCGCAGTAGGATCGGCAGAGAGGGCAGGACAACGGGTCAGTTGAGGTCTCGTTTGGCCCAAAAACACAGCATTTTGATCTGCGATCAAGTCGCATTCAGTCAAGTCGACAAAGACAGGAAAAGGGTTCAAGCGAATTCATCGATCGAGGCAAGACGAAACAGAGCAAAAAAAGCAAGGAAAGACGAGGCGAAATGTGGAATGGCGAGGAGAGATGAGAGTAGTCGAGCCTTGTCGAGTCAAGTAGGGGGACGGCGAGGATAGCTGAGCAAGGAGGGTCGAGATAAGGCGAGACAAGTTGAGAAACGGCGAGGAGAGACGGGGAATACGGATCAAGACGAAACATGATTTGTCAAGTCGAATTGGGTAACGGCGAGGAAAGCGGATGAGGGAAAGTTGAGTCAAGGCGAGACAAGTTGAGCATCGCAGAGAAGAGACGAGGAATGCGGATCAAGGCGAGACATGATTTGTCAAGTCGAATTTGGTAACGGCGAGGAAAGCGGATGAGGGCAGGTTGAGTCAAGGCGAGACAAGTTGAGACAAGTTGAGCATCGCAGAGAAGAGACGAGGAATGCGGATCAAGGTGGGACATGATTTGTCGAGTCAAGTTGGAGAAAGACGAAAAAGTCGGATCAAGAGGGTCGAGTCAATGAATGCGGGTTAAGTTTGATCAAAACAACTTGATGAACGGCGAGGTATGCGGATCGAGTAGTGTCGAATCGAGACGAGTCGAGTGAGAGATGACGAGCAATGTGAATCAAGGAAGGTCGAGTCTATCGAGTCAAGCTGCGAAACCGCAAGGAGAGACGAGGAATGCGGATCAAGATGGGACATGATTTCTCGAGCAAAGTTGAGAAACGACGAGGAATATTTATTACTTTACTTCATCTCCTTATTCTTGACGTTCAGTGCAATTTTAGTCTTTTTGTAGCCTGATCTCTTTGCTGCTGCTGTTGCTGTAGTTTGGCCAAATCTAAACCCTGACATTAATTAGCTCTCAGGATGTCCTAATTAGTACATTAGTAACTTTTCAAGTTTAATAAAAAGCATTGTTAGGGCGACCTTCGTTTCGAATGAAAGTGCATAAAGAAGATATTCCTTGGTCGATCTCATCAGATGAGGACGGATGAATCTCGTTGTACTGTAGCCGTTTGGCTTTTATAGAAGATTACACGAGAACGTATTGAGCTTTCGTCCATCTTTCGATGTACATCATCAGAGCTGGGTGTCATTCTTGTAAAAGTCATACGTTAACATTAAAGCAAGAACGTGAGAGTTTGAAAAGAATGAAATCCAGCTCTGATGATGCCCATCGAATGATGGACAAAAGGTCAACACGTTTTCACACGAAACGAGGGAGGAAGTCTGGTGGACTGCGTTAAACGGCTGCAGTACAACGAGCTTCATCCGTCCTCATCTGGTGAGATCGACCAACGAATCTCTTCTTCATGAAGTTTCATTCGAAACGAAGGTCGCCTAACAATGTTATCTCAGGAGATTCATCGAAACCAAGTTTCTTTTCGTATCTATAATAAAAAGCAGTTGATGAGTAGTTGGGTTTTGACGAGTCCCTTGGTAGCAAACGTGGATGGAAAGGATTCGTAAATTGGCCACTCCGGGTACCGACATTTTTGGTGTCCGTCCCATGACGGATGAACCGTGAACCGATATCTTCTTCACACAATCCAACTACACAAGCCCTAGGCAACCGCCCTTCGGCGTCCAGAGACGCCATTTTACGAATCCCTTCCCGTCGCCTTGTCAAATGAATTGAAAAGTATGTCGGCATCGCATGGTCGTCTATGATTTGAAGAGTCGTCACAAAATAATGTAACTTGCTTTTCGTGTGTTCCGATGAGGCGAGGGTCGTGGGCCTTGGGTGGCAAAGTTGTTTCCTCTAAACTCACCCATCGACTGGCAAAATT